AGATTTGAAAAGGGAGAAAAAAAAAGTTCGACAAAAGGTGGGATCGAACCCGGGTCGATCGCGTCAAAAAGCCAACGTCAAGCACTTATCCATCTGCGCCACTGGAGCTGATATTTTACAGCTGCTTTTAACTTAATGTAAATATACACTCAGTATTTTTTATTCCATAGTAAGGGCAATTCATACAACACATTTAAACTGAGCTACTTTAATACCATCTCCGAACTTTCTACCACGACTCTGCTGTTCTTCGGCTGGTTCTTCCTGTATACGTTGATTGACAGATGTCTCGTCCAGTCAGCGGTGAGTAATCCCAAACCAATGGCGCTGTCTCAAACTATACCTACCTCTTCCGGTTTGTCTGATTTGTCGTTGTGTTTTCTGACTTGTTAATTTGTTTTCGGATTTGTCGTTGTGTTTTCTGACTTGTTAATTTGTTTTCGGATTTGTCGTTGTGTTTTCTGACTTGTTAATTTGTTTTCGGATTTGTCGTTGTGTTTTCTGACTTGTTAATTTGTTTTCGGATTTGTCGTTGTGTTTTCTGACTTGTTAATTTGTTTTCGGATTTGTCGTTGTGTTTTCTGACTTGTTATTTTGTTTTCGAATTTGTCATTGTGTTTTCTGACTTGTTATAATGTTTTCTGAATTTTTGTTGTGCTTTATGAATTGTTATTTTGTTTTTTAGACTTGCATTTGCGTTTGTAATTTGTTATTTTGTTTTCAGAATTGTGATTTGCTTTGCACTTCTCTGTCACCGTACCTTCCTTGTTAAAAACCGTGCAAAATGGGCCGACTGTTTGATGATATTATGATGACAGAAAACACTTTCTCCCGTTGTGCTTTTCACAATTGAAATGCTTAACTCAGGAATAAACCCTGGGAAATGTAATCTCGGGTTATTTTATTCCACGTTCCACACGGTTCATATTTTATGCTTGGTTCATTTTAGATCACACACTGTATATTTCTAAAGTCAAAAGTTACAGTTCTTTTTTTTTTTTTGAGGCCAATAACATTGAGCGCCCACTGATACAGTTCCCAGCAGGTGCGTTAACTTTTTATAAGAACTGCTGGTCCAACATTGGAAAAGTTGCCACTCTAGTTGTTCACTCTGGTTGTCTTAAAAGTACTAAAAGCAGTCTTTTGGATGAAAATAATTTAAATAAAACGTCAATAAAAGTGTACATATATTTTTAAACTGTTTCAGAAGAACACCAACACCTTTTAAGGGCGTCGCTATCCGCACTGAATGTATCTGATTGGTCGAGTAGCGCGATATATTCTCTGATTTTAGTTCAGGAACGTAGCATCACTGCGACAAAGGCTACGTACTTGTAAGTATAATACCCTAATTAGTTAAAACCACAGTGTAATTTTCGTACTCGATTATGAATACTTTGTTCAAAGCATGGATCGTAGAGCGCAGACTTTGTTAGTTTGTTTTAGGAAGACCGAAGTGTCGAGTTGCTCCTACCAGCTGATGTTTATTTCCGATGATTCAAATTAATTTAATTACGATAGCCTCTACATTAATGTACATAAAAAGTGATTTGTGTAATTTAGAGAATGTGTTCCCTGACGTAGAGATTTTAATTGTCCCATAAAAAATGGTTTGTTATGTGTTTCTAACAGGAAAGTGAAAGTTTGAGGTCGCCATGGCTAAGGTAAATATTTGAATTAATGGGAAGAATGAATTCCTTACGAAAATTAACCATGGTTTTACTACAAAAACATGAACCAAAAAAGATGATTACTTCATTTTTACTACAATAAAACCATGGTTAATTTTCGTAAGGGAAAGCTCACGTTGCAAATAGATATTTTTGTGCTGTTACTAAACTTACTGCTCGAGGTCTGTCGCAAAGCAGTTTTATTACGGTAACCGAGATCTTGCGTACAGTCTCACTTTTGGGATTTTATCTAGCCTATTCACAAGTGCAATGGTATTGCGTTATATCAGTTAAACAATATTAGCCTACGTTTCTGACAGATTACTTTTTTTTTTCTTTCTTTCTTTCTCCTGATATTGTCTCATAGTACGAGAAAAAGCCAGAGCCCGGAGACCTTATTGAAATCTTCCGAGGCACATATCAGCACTGGGCTATTTATGTTGGAGAAGGTTATGTGATTCACCTGGCACCTCCCTGTGAGTATTTTACATGCCTCAAATGATGTTTATTGAGCTTAACTTGCATTCAGTCCGAAACATTCCATTTAAGTCATGATTGCTTTTACTTTTTCCATTTCTTTCTCTTCAGCTGAACATGCTCAAGCTGGAGCCTACAGTATGATGTCAGTATTATGTGATAAAGCCACAGTGAAGAAAGAAGAACTTTATGAAGTAGTTGGCAATGATGAATACTGTATCAACAATCTTCTAGATGAGAAATATAAGCCACGTCCTGTTCGAGAGATTCTACGGGCTGCACATAGATTTTTGGGAAAAGAACTTCCATATAGTGTGTTTACAAGGAACTGTGAGCACTTTGTTACAGAGCTGAGATACGGAGAACCACAGTCCCGACAGGTACAGCTGTTTGGCATGACCTGGCATATTGAGATTATTCACCCAAGTACTGTAACTGAATCGAGACTCATAAATGTCTCAAATTTGCAAATCACTGGATTGGTATGTTTTATGGTAAAATATTTTAAATTGATTTATTATAGGCTAATGTCGCAAAAGCAACAACTTTTCACAGTTAATTAATATAGATAATTTCTGTTTATTCTAATAGGTACGAGAGGCAGTGGAGACTGTTGCTGCAGTTGCTGTTGCAGGGATTGGCATTGGAACCATTGTTTATGCTATTTCAAAAATGTTTGGTTCAAAAGACAAAGAGAAGCAGACCCAATGAGCAGTTAGAAATAAAGAACTAAAAGTAATGGATTATTTAAAGCCAGTAAATTGTTTGATGCTTTTTATTAACTTTAAATCATTAAAACAAACCATTAAATTTAAATGTAAAACTTGGCAGCCTTAGTTTTATGAGTACAAATGGAGAGATTATAGACTGTAAAATCTTTTATGATGTATTCTCTTTTATGGTGTAAGGTAACTCGACAATAAAGCAATGAGTCCATAGTCCACTAATAAATCGTTTTTTTTTTTTTTTATACATCACCCATTTATTTTTCTACTAGATTTCTAATGACCTTTCAAGCACTTTTATAGCCGTGTATTACAAAGCAAAATATAGAAAGCTGAATATAGCGGCATGATGCCACTGGCATCATGAACCACCACTGGTAGGACACATCCTAGTATTTGAATTTGAAGGATCTATAGTCTGTTTTGCATCAGGTGTATCCTTCATGTATCCCTCACAAAAAAAAAAGAAAAGCTGAAAATGACTATTGCCCTGTCTAATTACCCACACTTGCGGTCTTGGCCACTTGGGAGCACGTGCATGTGGCAGGAAGTAAGTGTGCAAGACTGTCCCAGGTCTTAAAACACCAAAGGCAGTGCCCTTAACACACACTAAATCCATAGGGGTATTCCAGGCTTAGTGTATCCCATCATGCATCATGTTCTGGAAATAAATCGGGAGACTTTTTGCCAAGATCTCGCAAGAGGTCACAGAAACCTTTCCAATCTAAGTTAAATATTAATAATAATTAGATATATAATTTGGTAGTAAAACAAAGTATTGCACATTTTATTGGTGCAAAGATTAGTATATTTATTTGTACAACATTTGCAATTGCTTTTTATCACTCAATTAGAAGCATCACAAATTAAATTGTCATCTGTTGGACTACTGAACAGACATTTAGAAGTTTATTTTACAATGGAAAGTATTGAAAATAAAATAAAGCCCTGTAAACACTTGCATTTTTACAACACGATAAGTGTGTCCCATCAGGGAATAAAACGTTCTACACACATTTGTGGTCTTCATGCTCACTTGAACACTTGGGCAAAATACAGGAAATATGTCGTATAAGTGGTCAAGTGTATGGAGCTTATAATATGACAATACTATTTCAATTTGAATTGTGTAAATTTGAATTATTGACAAGTGTCATTTAACAAAACTGAATTTTATGTGGCTTTTAACATCGTTCTGATTTTTTTTTTACTTGGATATTGAACATTTGAAATTTAACACAATTGATTTTTCATGGCAGTTTTTTTAATAGACAGCGGATTTTTTGTTCTGAATTGTTAGACTGCAAATATCCAGTAATACAGCTTCAAGTTTTCAAGATGAAGAAGAAATTCGGAACATCAAATTCCATATTCAAAATTCAATACGCAGAAATTCAGATCGTAGAGAAAGTAGGTCAGAGGTTATCCACAGGGAAGAGTAGATGATCTCCGAAAAGTGTTCAATATTCAAGTAAAAAAAAAAAAATCTAACTCAGAACGATGTTAAAAGCCACATAATACTCAGTTTTGTTAAATGACACTTGTCAATAATTCAAATTTACACAATTCAAATTCAAATAGCATTGTCATATTATATGCTCCATACAAGTGCAAAGACCACTAGTGTGGGTATTTTGGACAGGGCATATGGTTAAAGATAACTAGTTAATATATAAGGAATTTTATGTTGCTTCAGTCCAGGTGTCCATTATAGTGGACTTGAAAAAATATCTCTGCCCACCCCACTGGCCCCCATATTGACCAGGCCCATGTTCACTGTTCACGCTTAACATAGGATGATACTTTAACCCAAGGTCTACACATATTATCAAACATGGACTTAAATTAATAAAAAAAATTTGTCATGTAATTTGGAATCAGTAAAAAAACTACAATTCATCTAAGTAATCTATCTACCCAGAGTGAGGCACAACCTAACACGGGACTAGCTATAAAACATGTGGTTTATAAGTATCCACACAGGCTAGCATGACGAATGACATAATGGGGGCAAAAATTAAGTACTTGTAATTAGGATATATTACATTTTAAAATACTTGTAATCAGACCACAGTTAAGTTTTCTTGATTACATGATTATTATTGACAAGCTAGCCTATATGGCTCTTTAAAAATGTTACAAAATATGAGGCCTGATATTATGTAGTATGTAGGAGAAGACCTCAATGAAATCTTCACAGGCTCATATCAGCACTGGGCTATTTATGTTGGTGAAGGTTATGTGATACACCTGGCACCTCCCTGCGAGTCATTTACATGCCTCAAATGATGTCTACTGATAATGACAATTACAGTCATCATTTACTCACCCTGGTGTTGTTCAAATGTCATATGTGACCCTGGACCACAAAACCTTAAGTCTTAAGTCGCTGGGTATATTTGTAGCAATAGTCAAAAAAACATTGTATGGGTCAAAATTATTGATTTTTCTGTTATGCCAAAAATCATTAGGATATTAAGTAACGATCAGGTTCCATGAAGATATTTTGTAAATTTTCTACCGTAAATATATTAACTTAATTTTTGATTAGTAATATGCATTGCTAAGAACTTCATTTGGACAACTTTAAATGCGATTTTCCTAATATTTAGATTTTTTTGCACCCTCAGATTCCAGATTTTCAAATAGTTGTATCTCGGCCAAATATTGTCCTATTCTAACAAATCATACATCAATTGAAAGCTTATTTATTCATCTTTCAGATTATTTATAAATCTCAATTTCGAGAAATTGACCCTTATGACTGGTTTTGTGGTCCAGGGTCACATATGCTCTTCTTTCTTTTTTAGACCACATCCATTATATTGAATACACTGGTTTTTAAGTCTCATGACTGTTTTTACGTTTCCATTTCTTTCAGATAGCTGAACATGCTCAAGCTGGGGCCAGCAGTATGATGTCAGTAATGCACAAAAAAGCCACAATGAAGAAAGAAGAACTTTATGAAGTAGCTGGCAATAATGATTGATTACCATGTCATCCACCTTATGGATGAAAAATATAAGCTTACAAGGAACTGTGAGCACTTTGGTATATAGCTGAGATACAGAAAACCACAGTCCCACCAGCTACAGCTGTTTGGCATGAACTGGCATATTGAGACAATTCACACAAGTACTGTAACTGAATGTTAATTAATTATACTGTACTCATAAATGTCTTCAATTTTAAAATCACAGCATTACAGGGCTGTATTATGGTGAAATATTTTACATTAATTTATTATTAGGATTAAGGTCACAAAATCAACACCTTTACACACAGTCAGTTAATAGATACTTTGTTTATTCTCATGGGTGCGAAATGTGGAAACAGAAGTTGGTCTTACTATAGTGTTGGCATTGGGAGTTCTTGGTGCTGCTGTAGCCATTTTTGGTTCAAAGACAAGAGAAGCAGACCGTGAACAGTGAGAAACGAAGAACTAAAAGTACAATTGTGGAGGCCTTTGATTATTTCAGTCAGTAATTTTTGTTGGTGCATTTTACTCAGTTTAAATAAGTAAATAAAATGAACAATTAAACATGTAATACCATAAGAAAATCAATTAATTTATTTGGTAACTCAACAATAGAGCAATGAGTGTGTGGTCTACAGATTTTTTTTAAAATAATACATTTCTAATGACCTTTCAAAAACTTTTATAACTGTCTAATACAATCAAAACTTGACCAAATTATGTTTAAACCTTTATTAATTTGGATTGAACTTGTAGCCTACATCTGCAGACTGTATCATGCCTATAAATACATAAAACCGAGAATCAGAATGAACAAACCACCATAATGACAGTAAAAAAGAGCACCACAACTTGTTCCTTTATACAGATAACATAGTTTAACAAGACAGATAACAAACAGGACGTCCGTCCATAAACTGAAGCAATGTTTCATTAGCTGTTGGTAACCTGTATGATTGCTCACCACATCGTTTATGTGTGTATATATTCCATGCATAATATTTTATTTACATACAGAATAAATACTGCAGATGTAGAAATGTGAAGGAAAAGTTTCAATTGTAACCATTTCAACGCCGTTTCAATGACTGACGCACCAGACACCTACATTCTTTCGCCACTGGGAACATTACAATACACTTACCGCCCTCTGAAGTGTAGGAGAGTTATTATTATCAAAATATTTGGTGCTCAACATCGTCCTTGACAACACTGCATAAAATGGAATGAGTCCCAAAATTACCCACTGCATACTTCTAAATCCTAGGTTAAAGTTTATTAAGTCACTGACATTGGCCATTGAAACTGGCCTGCTGTAACTGTTTGTCCAACAATGGAAAAGTGGCCACCGCCACCTAAATGTAATCCGGCTCTTATAAGTCTCCTGAAACGTACAAAGGAATTAGTCCTGGTGGCACTGATAAAAACATAAGTAAAATTGTTTATATTATGAATTAGAACAGCAATATCACTTTTAAGGACGTCCACCAATGATCTCTATCAGCGCCGAATGACCCTGCAGCTGATTGGTCGACATCAACAGTCACATCAGCTGGTTTGGTCTATGATGCTATTTTTGCTTCAGACGCCAATAACGTTACACGGATTGTAGCTCACCGAGACAAACATCATTATCTGTAAGTAGGATTCCTTCGTTATACCACAGGGTTACTTACTTATCTCGATTACGGAATGAAGACCGCAGAAGCCTGGATAGTTTGTTTATTTTGCATGACGTCTGCCTGTCGACTCTGCTTCTATAACCTGATTTTTTCCCCGATGCGCCAACCTATTATATTCACTTACATAGAAATGTGATTAATGTAATTTTCAAGAATATGCCGCATATTTGTTGCCATCTAAAAGTCATAAAGTCGTAAATAAACGACATGCATAATGTAACGGTAAAGATTAACTTGTGTCCGGATCACAAATGTCGTTTATGTGTCTCTCCTAGGATAAGAGTAAAAACAAGAAGAACAGTGTTTTGAGGTTGCCATGGCACCGACAAAGGTAAATGCATTTTAATAATCTGAAACGAACTGAAATGTAACAGTAAATGGCGAATAGATCATTTTAGTGCTGTTGTTATTGAAGGAATCGTAGTGTATGGTACTGTTGCACAGTTAGGTAATTATATATGCTTATTGCTCAAGATCTGTTATGGAGGAATTGTATTATTATAAGCTACAGAACCTCCAGCAAGCACACTTTTGCTTTATTTTTCTTTTCTATTCACAAGTGCAATAGTATCTGTTATTTGAGTCAAACAGTATGATATATTATTGTCGATCTAAATGACTCTTTAACAAAATATGACATCTGATATTGTGTCCCTTTGAGGATCAAAAGCCAGAGCCCGGAGACCTTATTGAAATCTTCCGAGGCACATATCAGCACTGGGCTATTTATGTTGGAGAAGGTTATGTGATTCACCTGGCACCTCCCTGTGAGTATTTTACATGCCTCAAATGATGTTTATTGAGCTTAACTTGCATTCAGTCCGAAACATTCCATTTAAGTCTCAATAATGTAAAGGTCAAGCGCTTTACAGACTTTGTTTTTGCTTTTCTTTCTCTTCAGCTGAACATGCTCAAGCTGGAGCCTACAGTATGATGTCAGTATTATGTGATAAAGCCACAGTGAAGAAAGAAGAACTTTATGAAGTAGTTGGCAATGATGAATACTGTATCAACAATCTTCTGAATGAGAAATATGAGACACGTCCTGTTCGAGAGATTCTACGGGATGCACATAGTTTTTTGGGACAAGAACTTCCATATTGTGTCTTTAGAGGGAACTGTGAGCACTTTGTTACAGAGCTGAGATACGGAAAACCACAGTCCCGACAGGTACAGTTTAAACATCACAGAAGTAATAGTGTGAAGTAGTGAATAGTGCTTTCAGTAATTTCTCCAAAAAATGTGAAAATCACAGTATTGCAGCACTGTTTTATGGTAAACTATTTAATATTGATTTAGGCAACAGTGATGGGAGCTTTTCTTATCATACAGTGAATTAATATAATACTTTCTGTCCATTGTCATAGGTGCGGAAAGCGGTGGAGACTGGTGTTGGAGTTAGTCTTGCTGCAGCAGCTATCTTTGCAGTTCTTGCTGCTGCTGCAGCCATATTTGGCTCAAAAGACAAACAGAAACGGAACCAGTAAAGACTGGGGAATGAAGAAGTGAAAGCACAGTTGTGGAGACCTTTGATATTTAAAGTCTGTAAAATGTTTATTGCATTTTATGGAAATAATTAAAACATTGAACGTATTGATTAGGCAGGCTTAGTTTTAGGAGCACAAATGGAAATATTCCTAAACAGAACAAGAGATTGTCAGCAACCAAACAAAACCCCATCTGTTCTGTTGTTTGCTAATGGTGCATTTCGCTACTGACAAATCTCTGCATCTCATTTTATTTAAATAATTTTGATATAACACATTTCTCTTTCTACTGGTTTCCTATTAACACTTCAAGCACTTTAATACTATATAATCAAAAAGAGCAAGCTGAATATTTGACCAAATAAATCCTAACATAAACTGCCATGTTGCTATTTTTGTGCCATTAAATATTTGACATCATATAGTAGGTGTTTGTGTATTTCTTAATGTGATTATACTATACCAGCATATCGTAGATCAGGGGTGCCCAAACTCGGTCCTGGAGGGCCGGTGTCCTGCAGAGTTTAGCTCCAAC